AAAGGGATTTTAATTAAGACTGCTTTTCAAGATTCAACACTCCTGTAATTAAATCAATCGGGTACTGCTTTGCATTTTAGCATTCAGTGATCAGGCTATCAATGGCTTCCTCTCTCTCTTTTTCTCTCTCTCTTCACACAGTATAAAATTATTGCATCAGCGGTATGAGAGAGAGAAAAGATCGCACACGGCAGGGAATTTAAAAAGTTTTGATTTGGGTCATTTTAATGAAAATTGTCAGTCGGCCGGGAGAAAGCAACTAAACACTTTATTTGAAAAGATGACATCATTGTTATTTTTTAATCGTTCTAGAAAGACCATGTACATATTTTTTGAAAAATTATTCTGTTACATATGTTAGTTGTATATCAACACTTGAGGGAAAGTTTCGATCGAATAGATCAAGTAAAATGCATACTGAAATAATTAGGCCTCTGAAAGCCTTTTCTGTTTTTTTTTTTTTTTTGGATTGGATGGGGTTTTAAATAAATTCTATAATTTTGTTCCATAAAATTCGCAGCGTAATTGAAACGTCGGGAATGGGGGTGTGTGTCCCTTTTGTTGTTGTTGATTACAGAATTACGATAAAAAGTATTAGGAATATTAATTTAGCTTTCCGTTATTTCGCGAGTGTAGATGGTGTAGTTTTCATTCGAGGTTGTTTTACCGACCTCTGACGGAAAGACCCGAGATGATGCGATTGGGTCAAATGAAGACCATCTGCCTAGATTGATTGTTATGATGATGGAAATAAGAAGGTAACTTAACTAAACTTTATTTTAATAAGGGTTAATTCATGCAGGTTTTTAAATCAATTTGATTGATTTAGCGTGTGTGAATTACTCCATTAACACCATCCCAATAATGTCCATTGGAATTCTGCTGTCGGTGTCCGAAGAAATAAATTTGTGTACATGTATATTACTAGCCCATTACACTGTGCATGCTATGAATTTGATTGAGTGTTATTTCTGGCAAAATGTCTATGTGGTAGATATTACCACATTGAGACTGAAGATTTTTTGGGATGTAAACATTGTCATTTTATCCCGTTTATTAGTTTTTTTGTCTTACCCAAGGGAGGAGGAATATGTTTTGGCATGGATAGCTTGTTTCCCACAAGTTGCAACTTTGTCAGCTGGGATGTCACATATCAGTTAGATTATAATGTCACATTGTGCCTGTCTAAGGTTAATCAAGTTCTAGTTCAGTGTATTTTTATGGATACTAATTAAAGTTCGGTCATCAAAAATGAAGCCCCAAATGGGGGGAGGAGGATTTATGTACTTTTATGGGGGTACTCACAAGGGTGGATCTGATCAACTGCTGCAGTGGTATAGATGTAAAATCAAAATCAAAGAACCAATCATATGATATTTATGGAAGTACCTTATGGAATCATAATTTTGTTTTCTGTATCATGTGAATTATTCATATTTGGTGAAATGTTGTTATAAAAGCCATGAAAACATATAAGACATATTTTGTCAAATATGGAAGACATATCATATTTCATTGAAGAGTTAATGTAATGTAGCACCACTTTTTTGAATTAGGTCAAACATGAAGGTAAATATTAAGGTGTCAGATATAGCATGCACAGAAATATTATGTCACAGATAATGCACATGTAAAATATGAAACCCTCTCTCTTCTAAATCAAAAGTCAAAAGGATTTTTGAAAAGTAGGTCCTACTTCAAGGTCAAGGTACCATGGTCAAAAATCATTATTAGTTAAAAACATAGTTACATGTACTAGTTCATTATGAAAGGAATTACCACATGGAATGCATGTATAATCTGAACATGTCGAAAGCCCTATCTCATCTCATTCAAAAGTTATGACCAAGGTTTTAAGTTTTTGTGACGGATGAGCAGACCAACAGACTTACACATGACAGATGATAAGATTCAAACCTTTCTTTGGGTACCACCAAATTTGACCTCTTGACCTTGACCTTGGAGTTTGACCTACTTTTATTCTATTTGTTATCAACTTTAACTTTCGTCATAACTTTTGAACAGATCAAGATAGAGACTTCATATATAAAATGCATAGACTCCACTAATTTAGCACTTTCAACTGACACCAAGGACAATGACCTTTTGACCCTGACTGTGACCTATATGCTAAAAATAGATTTTTCGAACTTTCGGTATAACTTTTAAACAATAGAAGAGAGAGACTTGATATATGGTATGCCTACTTCACTAGTTAAGTGCTTTCAAACGACACCGAGGTCAATGACCTTGTGACCTTGACTGTAACCTTTCTGCTAAGAATATCTTTTTCAAACTTTGTTGCTGTGGGGGCATAGTGTTTCACAAACACATCTTGTTTTTGTATATTTCTTTGAATAATGCAAACATTTTCACAATTTGAAATTTTTTCAAAACCCCTAGTAACACTAAATTAGAAACATAAAGAATTATTGTTCACTTCCAACATATAAATTCTAACATTAATTAAAGTGAACATAATGTATGTAAAAACTTAATTGATTTGTTATCCAATGTAGTTTTAATAGTTAAGCTGATGAATGTGATCATGGTGATAGGGATACATTTCAAAAACTAACTAGTGGTAAATAAAACACCGTAGTATTAAGCTTTGAATGCATTGATAAAAATGTCTTATTTCATCATGTTCATTACATGTACCTGGTTTTTTTTGCCGGTAGGTGGTTATTTCAGTTAGGTTAATAAAGAGAAACATACGAGATGTAATTAAATTTCATTCTTATATATTCATCCATAAAGATGATGAAGATACCCAACATAATTATTAAATGATAAAGAGAATAAATCAGATTGGTGATCAATATCCAAAAGACAGGATGGTGGATCTAGAGGGAATGGGTTCCAATATTTTCCTTTGTTTATTGCATGGTTTTGAATTTCACATTTACCCCAGACAAATCAAAATGAGTTATTTGTAGGTTGATCTAATAAAGAAGCTTTATCTTTTTGATTATGGCTGATTGATTTCAAACACTTAGCTTATAAGTCATGTGATATCATGGTCCAAAGTTATGAGCGGTGAATCCAAGGGGAGTTGATATTGAATTTTTAATTTCTTATCAAGCTTATTGTAGATCATCATGGGATATACTAATAATTATTGCACATTTATTTAAACATTTAAGTAACCTTTCTTTGTGTGATAAGTAATGGATCAAAGGCATGTATATTTCACCAGTAATTGTTTTGATAGTTGGGGTGGATCCAAGGGGGTGGATAAATATATTTTTTAATATTAAATTTTGTAATGTGTCAAAGGAATCAATAATGATCACGTGATGTTTATGATTAATTGATTTTAAACATTTAATTAAATCACATTGTTACGGTTTAACCATAACTTTTAATTTATATACATTGTGTAACAACATGTACATCTACGTGTTTTGCATACAGAATACCGCTTCCTATTTCTAAGTTAAAGCCGTATTTAGTAAATACTTAATTTGATATCAAAATTTCTATTAATTCATCGTTCCGTTAAGCTTTCCCTTTCGTTTTCCGTTCCGTGTTTATAGCTACATCCCTTTTTTATGCATGTGCTGTATAGATATTTCGACTACTGACATTCTGAATAATTTATAGAAACTGAGCCAATTATAAAAGGAATAACAAATTCACACTGTTTTTAATATTAATTTGTGTGATTTTTGTTCAAATTCGACCTGTTTATGTAGATTCACGTACTCCATAAAATTGCTCTGTCAATATACTAATTAACAGACCAAGTCCTTACGTCGTATTTCGATCTCTAACATAAAGCAGAGACTTGGTGCTTTCATTTCCTATAAAAAAAAATTCCTCTGAGAGTCCAAGTTTGGAAATCCAGGCGTTGTGAAACTGAAATGTTCTTGATTTAAAAAAAAATGGACGAAATTGAGCATCTTCAACTTTTGATAAAAATATGAGCCAACCCTGCGATCCAAAAATTCATTCATGGGTTAGAATCCTCTGAAACAGTTTTCTTTCATTACATAATTCAACATTTTAGATCAGAGATTGGGAGCTATGAAAACTAGTAAAAAAAACTTAAATTGTTGGGCATTTTTAACGAAACATGACTTCATAATACATAGACAAGAGAAAAAAATTTCATTTTTATTTTATATGAAGGCAACAAGAAATCAACCGAAATATAACATAAATCAACGAAAACTGGGTAGTTCTTATTTTTCAGAAATTCACAGGGTCAAAAATGAACCAATGTGAACTTCCTTCTTTATGTCGCGTGTACATATTTCCCAAATTTTCACTTTTTCAAAGTTTTTTTTATAGACCTTAGTCTTCTCTTTCCCCAAATCTACATCAGAGTAGTGTTTCCTATTCGAGGCTGGCGCTCCAGAAGAAGAGCATCAATGATCACAGATTGATTGTGCTGCATGGCATCCGTCCTATTTTCTGTGGAAATAAAAAAAATACAATTTTACTCTAGTATTAGTTTAAAATAAATAATAAAAAATAAAGAATTTAAAAAATGTATACTCATACATGTACACTATACCTTATGTACGCAATATTATCAAGTATTTCTTTTTATGGGGTAAAAACGTAAGACTTTAGTCTATTTTTATTTTAAACAGGCAGATGGACTTTCAGGAGACATGTGGCTATTTAACATGTTTAGTATTGGCATACATGTAGATATCAATATGAAATATAGTTCATATGTATCATTGACTTTGATAAATAATGCCACATTGCTTGCAGACAGAAATAAATTGATTTTCTATTACCCCTGCACAAAACTCTTTGAAACGATTAGACAGCTATAAGTATTTATTTACTCCCAGTGATCATACATTTGTAATAATTTTGTTTCTTTGTTTTAAGGGTTTTTGTTTCGTTACTTTGGATGTTTGTTCAGTTTTTGAAAAAAAAAGTTTTATCTGCGAGTAGATAATCACATGAGATGTTACATGCATAATATTTTTCATATGCAGATTATGTGTTTTAGCATTTAGACGAGAGTCCCATAGGTCTTAGAGGTCACAGGAGCATCATGTAACAACTTTCTATTAATTGAATTTAGTTATGTTTTAAACCAGAGGCCATGGCATTTACAGTTTTGAAAGAGATACCACTGCTTATCACAACTGCACACTTAGCATGCTTATATACTTTATTGGTAACTTAATACCCATAGGCAAAATAGGAGAATAAAAAATGCATTTCAACTAATCAGTGATTCAGCAATATTCAGTAGTGCCCCCACTCCACATGAATTCCTGACCCTGGGTTCACACATTTTACAATTTTGTAAAAGGCGCTCATTAATATTGTTCATCATAAATGTTTGATTGGTTGATACCAAAGCGCATTAATTCATTATCAGTTTGTTCGAATTAAAATCCCTCTATATTCCCCCTAAGCTAGGGGCCAGAAAATCCACAATTCTGGGAGAACCTTTGCGAATAATAATCATATTGGTAGTTCATCTGTTCAGGAGCAGAGGAAAAGGATTTAAAAGAATAAAAATGATCAATGTACGTACTCTATAAAACCTAAATAGCCCAGCCCTAGCACTTTAGACCCCATAACCTTGGGGCCATGAATATCATAATTTTGGTTGAGGACTCAAAGCTTACTATAATCATGCCTTCATGACAGCTTGATATGCAGGAGTAAAGAGAAAGCATTAAGAGTTTTAGTGTCACTACTCAGGCCTGGGAGACAGGGACCATAAATTTCACATTTGTTGTTTCCCGTAACCCATAAATGCCATATGCCAATGAAAATTGGTTGAAATTGGTTTAGCGGTCTCAGAGAAGAAGCTTAAAATGTTCAAATGTTAACGGACGATGAACATACGATGCAAGATGATGCGACTTAGGTGACCTAAAACGTCCAAGGCAATACTATAATATAGTAATACAGTTTGTTTCACCTTTGGTTTTTATAATTGACATTGATGTAAAGTTTGAATCTTTGTCAAAATTTCAGCGTACACTTTTTTCGCTTGTTAAAATGCTGAGATAAATATTACAATTACCATAAGTTTTACAGCCTTCTTTGACGTGAACCAAATTTGAGTTCACTTCTTTTGTTTCTCTCTTTAATGAACTGATGTCCATTTTCACTTCCTTTATGTCTTCCTTCATTTCTTGGAATTGGCAATCCAACTTCGTCACTTGAAGATTATGAATCAATCAATTAGTATGGAGAGTATTATCGTGGATATGGAGGTCCCTAGCATTTACATTTGTCACTTGCATGCACAGTTAATTGAATATATATACAGTTTAAAAATGTTTGGGCTGGAATCCTGGGCCCAAATACGTCACTACATTACTATTATCTCACTTAATCAATATTGGAATATTTTAACGATAAAATAAGCGTATGAAGTCTAAATACTTTATAGATTAATTTGTAGAATTAATTATGCTAGAATTAGGTGGTAACAGAAATTGTTTAATATAGAACATATAAGAACACAAGCTGACCTATACAGACCTATGAAAAAAAAATCGTTTTTCCGATTTGTCAAAATTGTGAAAAATTTAATAAAACGCTAATTCCAATCGGAAACGTCGTAAAATTATTCATGTATTACTCAACTATTAGATACAGTTAATGAGGAGAGATATAACAATTACAGCCGTCTAGGTACGTGTAAAATAGTTCCTAGAATAAAGGACTGTAAACAAAATCTACTTCTATAGGAATAATTTCTTTGAAAGACATTCCTTAGTACAATAGAGGATATAGCTCTCCAAGTGTAAAAAAAAAAAGATGTCAATTACTAAAATAATGTAAGGTAGGAAATCATTTCGGGCCCTTTTCTCACGTCAACTCTGTTTTTCACATTTATTCCGCGTATTCTACCGACCCCCACACCAGATCAATATCTTTTATGCAATAATACCTCTTAGAAATGACGCTTGGATTATCCTCTTAGTGCTGTATCATTACACATTTCAGACGAATAATAATCCACATGCTGTTTTTAAAACATTTGTCCAGGATATAAAGCGCAAATACATGTATATTAAAAAATCTCGGAGTAGAGCTATAAAATTTTCGGTTAATTATAAAATTGAAAAAAAATATCAGTTTTAGTACATGTATATATTCGAGTAAAATTTACTGTCTTTATCTATCTTCGACAAATATGCTACTCGAATTCAAATCATGTTCTGATTTTACTTACAAAAGGATGTTTTATGACATAAATGTACAAGTATGTAGGAAAAGGTGCTATGATTTCAATAAAAATTCCAAATCTTAAAAGATATCATTTTCTGCTTTTGTAAGCCCATATGTATATATGATTTAAATAATCAACAGTATTTAGCGAGAAATGTATAAGTAAACATAATTTTGCTATTTTCATAAATAAATGTCTTCCTTGATCACATCTGAGTTACTACATAAGGAGACCTCCTACTATCTGCTTTTTCTGTGACAATACACTAATCATCCTACATGTACATTAACATTTGAATGTTTTAAAATCATTTTTTTCGTTTCTTCATACAAATTATGATAAAGTATTTACCTATTGCCTTTATCCAGTTAACATCATCTGTCAACTTCTTTCCTATCGAAATTTAAGACGAGAAATAGATGTAAAGGTGGAGCATTGATACCCCCGTAAGGCAGTTCCATGCCAAGATGAGCCTTTTTAATTAGGTTAAAATGCATCTGGTACTACATATGCCGAATACAATGTAAAAAGAAATAGAATTTTGACACCCATACACAAACCGTTCATGTTAAGGTTAAGATTCCAAAGTAAATTTTATTCTAAGGTCAGGAGGTTAGAAATAGTTAGCCTGAAGAAAGGTCTTGTAATCATAAGGAATAGACTTGTGACATATAAAATTCTAGGCATCTAGTTAGTACAACTTTGAACGACAAAAGGCGAAGCTTAAGATAAAGTAAGCGATCGATAAAAAAAAACAACATGCAAACAGTACAAATCTGTGATAAGGGCATAAAAATCACGGACCCTAGGATGTGGGATCAAGTAAATATCTCTTGTTGAACAGTCACTCCTGCTGTAGGACCTTTGCAAGTTTCAGCATACTGAATAATTCGTCAAATAGTCATTTTTTTTTTTATAAAATAAAGGGCTGACAATTGGTATGAAATATGTCAGTTAGAATAAGAGGCCCAAGGCCCGTATATATCACTTGATTGTCATATAACAACTTTCCAGCATTTGAATATGGTTTTTGTTTTAAACTAAAAGCCATGAAATTCACGATTTTGAAAGAAATTTGCTTTTCATAATTTTACACTTAGCATGCTGACTTTGGTTACTTAATATCGATGTTAGCTAGTAACAAAGAGAAAATGTATTTCCTCTTTATAACTACCAGTTGTTCACCCCACAGGAACCACTGACCTTGGGTAAGGTCACATATTTTAACATTTTGAAAATTTTATCATAAATTTTACTTCATCATTTTGTTGATTAATACCAAAGAGCAGATTTCAAAGCATCAACTTATTTTCAAAGTACCCCCGCGTACCCTTGCCCCAGGAGTCCTGAAATGAACAATTTTGAGAAAGGCACATTTCTTCATCATAAATACCGGTATTCTTTTAGATCATTGGCAAATTTACCAGGAGCAAAGGGGAAAAAATTAGAAAAATTTTCAAGCATTCTCACTATAACATTAGAGCCCTGCCTTAGCGCCAGAGCCCCTGACCCAAGGTCCCTGAAATTCATAAATTGGAAAGAAGCTTCCTTCCTCGTCATAACTAAGTACATAGTTAATTGATTTAATACTCAGGAGCAGAGAAGAAATTTTCAAAAAAATTATGCATTTTTACTATATAAACAAGATATAAGTTTAAATCACCCAATATTTTAATTTATCATAAGGAATGGTTGTAAAGGTCATACTTTTAATTATACTGACGTTAAAAAAGTACACTGGACTGTGGTTTTTCATTTTTCTAAAATCGTAGCACGGGTTAAAGATTATTAGTAGGTCAAACTTTAAAGTCAAAGCCATGATGTCATAGGGACTGGTACCATATAAGATTTTATCATAAAAAGACATCTGTGAGATATGAATGACATTCCTTAAAATGGTGCTGAACTTCTAGTCAAGGCTAAAAGCAATAACGCAGGTCAATTCCAAAGTCAAAATGTGAAAGCCAAAGATGTGTATTGACACAACTATACACATAATATAGTATTAAAGCCCTAGCATCACGTGTTTAGAAATTATGACCAAGCTCAAAATCTTCAAAAGTACCTATCTCCGATGTCAAGGCGTCAAAAATGGAGATACTCAAAGTAAGGGAAAGACTGGTTTATAGTATTTCGAAAAAAGGTAAATTCTTTAACTTCAAGGCCAAAAAATTCAAAAAAGATGCCCATGGGCCTTAAAGATCACCCGAATTTCATGTAAGAACTTTCCAATAATTAAATTTGATTCAAGTTTTAAACTAGAGGCCTTGAAATTCACAATTTTGAAAGAGACACTATTGCTCATCATAATTATACACTCAACATACTTACTTTGGTTACCTAATACACAGAGGTAGATCACAGTAACAGAGAAAATGCATTTCACATTATCAGTTGTGCAACCCATCCCACAGGAACAACTGACCCTGGGGCCAAATCTTTCTAAAGCGTACACTTTTAAACTTGATAATTGAAAAGCTCACACTGGATGTAAGGTGTAGACAAATCAGGCACGCCCATCGTAAAGTGTTTTTTAATCTTCATCAATTAATAAGTAACACATTCGATGTCTCTACCAAACCAAGAATAAAAAAAGTTTCTAACATATCACTATGCATATTTGAATACATACAGTCATTACCAAAACTGGATTAAGATCTACATGTTTGCTCAATGCATGTCGTTTTTATGTGCTTTTTGTTGATATTGTGTGCGGCGAGAACAAAACATTTGATATCATACTTTAAGCTATAAAGTAACCAAATTTTACTTTTCAACTTTAATCTAAAGTGTGGTTTTGATTTGGGCAGACAAATGAAATATATCCAAAAGAAAATAAACAAAATATTAAGCAAACGAGTGCTCACTTTGAGATTCCAAAATATATCCACCCTTGCTTCTAAAGAAATCACAGATTTCTTTTTTGTCATATTTTTCTCAAGAAGTTATGGATATTATTTGCAATACATAGGAGTGCTGAATGAATTAAGGTTAAAGGGGAATGAATTATATCATCATTGTGTGTGCAGTTAAATTGTTCGTATGAAAATCATGTGATACAAACTAACCTTCTGTTTCCAATGAACATGTATTAATTGTTGCTTTTTTGCTGCACATCTTTCTTTTTATTTCGGCTCTTCCTTCATTATTATCAAAAACCATTTTCTCTAAATCTAAAACATAACATCTTACACTTGGTTTATGAGCCACATCGCTCACCGAAAGCACTTTGGCGTGGAGAAAAAAGAAATCAGTTAAGTATTGAAATGTTCCCTACAATTGAACTTCTATCGAGGCCTTGTTTTACTCTTAGGGACGGACATCATGGACATGATCTGAACACGATAGTAATCTTCATTACCTAAATGTTTCTTCATTCAGATGACTGGCTTTCATGTTCTTGAAAAGAATTTTTTATTGATATATCCCTTATATTCTTTTGTATAATATTTTTGATACCTTGCTGGTCCCCCATTCAACCGCCAGCGTTCATAATATAAAAAAAACCCCTTAAATTTCACTAGCCAAGAATGCTTCAATATCAAATCAAAATAAATTGAAATTGCCCCAGTTGTTCTTTAGAAGTTGGAAATAAAAAAGCACGACGACAGCAGACAACATTTCGATCAGAATAGCTCACATGAGCCTTGGACTCAGGTGAGCTAAAACTTAACACGATGGAATATTTTTACTTATTATAATACACATCAAAGAGAAAATTGCACAAAATATAACTTTTGAATCAATATATACTGAAGGGAAAAAGAAACGCAGGGTAAACTTTTGAGTAATCTCTGTTGAGATTCTGCTAGGCTAGATATTTGGACTGACGCCTACAGAATCTCTGGACACTTCTTCATAATTCATGTCTGGAAATTGAGCCCCAACTTTGGCCGACTATAGCAAGAATTATTTACATAGGCAACACTGCCGCTCGCTTCATTTTAGTCATTTGGTTGTTAATTTGACTCTCTGTCAATTTAATTTCTACATAACTTACTGTTTAGACATGTAAATACAAACATAAAATTATTCACTGACATCTCCATTCAAAAAAAACACGGCTCTTGTGACGAAATTGTTTACCTCCTCAAATGTTGGGATTTACATACCTAAACAGTAAGTTATGTAGAAATATTAGTGACAGAGAGTCAAATAAACAACCAAATGACTAAATTGAAGCGAGCAGCAGTGTTGCCTATGTAAATAATTCTTGCTATAGTCGGCCAAAGTTGGGGCTCAATTTCCAGACATGAATTATGAAGAAGTGTCCAGAGATTCTGTAGGCGTAAGTCCAAATATCTTGCCTAGCAGAATCTCAACAGAGATTAACTTTTGAGGTGAATAAAATTTGTTTTTCTCAAAATACTTTTTAGTTTTCCTATCTAACTTTTAAAATCATCTTTCAAAAAGATATAACCAAATTCTCAAATGATTTTGTGTAGTTATTCATGAGTAATTGAAGCTAAAATGACGATATCCCCCAAAAGGGAAAATCAAAAACTCTCATTATCTTCAATATCCATCTCGTACATCTGTCAGAGTCTTATTTCTCTTTTGCAGGGAATTTCATCAGAGTGTTTATCCTTTAAACCCTGGCTAAATTTAGCATGGGTAACCACGCAAAAAAATAAGTCAAACGACGCGCGCATGCGTCAGTGAGAGGAATACAACAGTAAGTTGACTGGCTCAAAAAACCAAATTGCGGAATTGTTTTCTTTCAAATTTCGTATGAATGTAATGATTATAATCGTGTACACTATAAATGGTTGTTTTTGTGGTAGTAAGGTGGCGATTTAAGAGATGGCAGGATGAATAACCCGCTCGTAACATGGCTCTGTTTCGCGTTAACGTCAGCGTCACAGTTGATTGAAATCCACTCCAGACCCTCTCTGACAACGACTAAAAAGTTTTATTGGGGAAAATGGTCAAGAGACTGCTTAATGAACCGTTGTTGCTTTTTTCATTAATTAGGCAATTCAAAAACAAGACCCCATTGAACTTCCGTAAACTGTGCCAAGATTGCAATAAATTCATCATGTCTCTTAATATTGAAAAACGATTTGCATACCTCATATGCATCAAATAATGCAACAAGATTTGTAAACAAACACGTCGTTATCAAATTGCACGTGTTTTGGGCTTTTTAGCGTTTTCCCTACGTGACGTCATAAATTTTAAGCTTGAGTAATTCTGAATACTGAATTTGATGCACAGTAACTAAATTTCCCATCTGACCAATTTTTGTAATTTTCGGTCATGTTGTCAAATTTTTATCAACAATTATGCTACCCTGCGTTTCTTTTTCCTCTCCGTATAATTTATTTGTTTGTTGTGTTATTTACCAGTCTTAAAGAAGTGATAAGATAGGAAGAAATGTCAAAATGGAAGCAATTTGAATTAATAATTATTTCCAACTTCTACGTTGTAGCTCTATAATAATTGTGTATACATGTTATATCATGTCTTTAATCAGTTTAAAGATGTAAAACTACTACTTACCACTGATGAGACTTTTAATCTCATCGACTTTCATCAGTGCTTTCTCCGATTCTGCACCAATGGCCATTTGCAATGGGGGGCATCCATCTTGACCAATGTTATCTATAAAAAGACTGATGACATTATTGTTGATATGTGGGACTGATATATAAAATATATACATGTACACATGTACATGTAGTTTATGGATGTGTGCATAATGCCCGTATGAACCAGCTGTCATTGGGAGGAAGGAATTGGTGTGAGACTAAACATATGTCCATGGCAATAAATAGGTCATATGATTATTATCGTGGGATATTAGAAAAAAAAATAAATTAAAAGTATAAACATGAATGAAATACCAATAACCATCTTCTTATGAGATTATTTTCGAAAAAAATATTTTTGAAAGTTTACTTTCAATTTTTTGGGTGGGGGATTTGTCATATATTTCAAATACCGGTATATTACACAAACGAAAAACTTCCATCTCATCCTATTTTTACTAAAAAAACATTTAGAAGCCGTAGGTATAATCTTTAAGAATTGTCTGCTTAATGATAATGAGTATTGAAAAGAGTAAGGGATTTCATATTCACCATCTGCATTTCACATGACAAGATGTTTCCGATCAATCTGTTTTTTTACCCCTGACTTTTATGGTTGACTTAATTCAGAATAAAAATAGTGAGGTGATTACTTTTGAATGACATATGATAGGGTTTTCATATTGGACAAGTGCATTTATACATGTAACTGTGTCGAAATGATTCCGTGTTCCCATGTCCTTGATCTTCATTTTTGACTAAATCTTAAAATATCTTATCAGTGTTGCTAATGACATCTTTACTACCTACACACACAGCTTAATTAAAATTCGAAACAAAAACGGTGTCAGATTCCTTTTTTTTTGGTTCTATGGTGACCCTTTTGCATCGTAATTGCGTTTTACACATATAGGAGGGTTATCAAAAAGTTCGTAGACTGAGACTAATGTAGTGTGCTTTCAAAATTTATCAGGAACATAAAACACCAAGAAAATAAATAAATATTGAAAACTTTTGCTTGATACGTTCATTATTTGCCAAATTATTATCAAATAAAAGCAACATTATATGATCATCCGGCGCCTTTGTCATTGACTTTCATGACGTCTGACAACGTCATTGTTGAAAGAGACCCTTTAAAGCTTGTGGAAAAGAAAATGTTTCTAATTACCTCGCTTAACCAGTTGCGACCTTTCTGCACTCACAAAATGCCATTGTACGTGTACATTTAAAAATTAGCAAGTAATAAATTATTTTTAAGTCTTATAAAATTTTTCCTTAAATTTAGCAAATGGAAACGTGAATTTCAATAATTAAAAAGAGAATAACAACGAGAGTCTGTTATGTAATCTGGTATATTTTACTAAAACTGAAATGGGAAGCCAAATATGAAGCTTTTACAATATATAAGCTATATCTGTGACAACATGATGATAGAATTCATAATAATTGATATATGATTCTGGACCACCATTACAAATAAAATATACATCCCAACATAACAGAGCTCTGTTGCTGTAAATACTTAGACAGTGTAAAATTGATAATTGTGTTATATATGCATGAAAAATTACTTTTATTAGCTGTAAAAAAAGTTTTCCTAATTTTTTCTTTTCAAAACACATGTTTTATAATATGTCGTGCAAACGTTTAAGAGAGGTTAAGCATTTGACCGTGTACGTTTACTTGTACAATATACGTGTAAACCTAGAAGTGATTTTAAACGTGCGTGTAACTATCATCGTGATCTCTTTAACAAACTGCAGGTGTACTGGTACGTGTAAAACGTCATTTCAACATGCCACTTTACAATCCATTTATATCAAATGAATCTATGACTTGAAATAAAAAAAAGATACATTGGATGTTCGAAATGAACTCTCAACTTCACACTAAATACCCACTTAAAAATATTTATTCCGTAATTAGAGTTTAAGAAGTACAAGTTTTCACCTACGTGTACTTGCGAATCTACACGTCGTGTACAACTTTTAAAACTACGCGGTATGTAAATTTTAAAGTGATGACGTACGAGGGGGTATCAAAAAGTTCGTGGACTAGTGCCGTAAAATTAAAACCGTTTTAGGTATATCAACGAATTTTAATATAATTAGTAAGCAACATCTTTCATATCTATAGAATAAACCACAAATCATAAATTTCTTTTTTTTAATAAATAAGAAAAGTTTTTGTAAGCTAGAGTATGTCCAGGCGGCACAACTTCGAAAACAACGTTTTGTCGACCTACGTGTAACTGAGAAAAATATTTTAATATAAATATTTGACATCCAAAACTCCCGTTAATTCAGATATTGTTTGGGACACTATTGCTCCATAAAATTTTGAATTTTTACCTCATTCTGGAAATTCCATGGAATTTTATCGTAAATTTTACATGGAGTATCCAAACAAATATTGCTTGAAACTGACTTCAAAAAGGGGGAGGGGTGTCCTTTTCAAACATTCTATAAAGTTTTGCCCATTAAAAAATGGCATAGACCTAGGAAAGGTTTAATCTGGCTATGTAGAAATAAATCAAAGTACTTGTTTTTAAAGCCAAAATAGATTCAGAGAGAAAAGGAATGCACAGATAAGGACGATTTGTAGTCATGGTGTGAAAAATCAATCAAGTCAAAAACTGATGTTGATCATGTGTTGTAGATATTGAACTCCAAAAAAACAAAATATGCTGGCACAATCAAGCGAAGATCTCTCCCAATGTATGAATCCATTTGCAATATTATATATATGCATTGCAAGCCGCTGTTCATATTATTGTAAAGTCATATAATCAAAGCGGATTGAAGTCCTTACTCAGCTCCAGGAAACCTCATCAAAATAAGTGTATGAGGTATAAAAAGCAGACATTGAAAAACAAAAAACAATGACGTTATCGGACGTCATGAAACTGAACGGTGACGGCGCCTGGTGATGATATAATGTCGTTTTTATTGCAGCCCGGAGGAACATTTAGGTTTAAGTGTTGTTGTATGGGGAATGAGGTATGGGGGAAGTTATTCAGAATTATACATGTAAAGGTTTTCTAAACATTAAAAAGATTGTTAATCAGAATTTCCTTTCCCTTTATAAATTACGAGATACAGAACATATTTACTTCCATAAAGTAAATTTGTAAAAATATATGTTTTTTTCATATTTATTTAATATATAAAGTTGCTTATCATTTACTATCAGAAAAAACGGCAGGTCCCCTTTTTAGAACATCGAATTTTACATGTCGCATAAAAAAGTACTTTTTACACTTCGTGTTTTATATTGACTTTTTTGTTCGATTTTTATCCGACTTTAAGTTTTCAAAATAAACTCGACTATCGTCTCCATCATTTAGATGCATGCCTTTTTTCACACATATCTAAGCGGTCTGATGTTCAAGACTCATTCCCATTGTTTACTTTATACGAGTATATTTCCCGGGCGACAATTGATGGTTACATCAATGTTTTATAATGATTTGGGAAATAATGAACGTATCAAGCTAAAATTATCAACATTTTTTTTATTTTTGGTAGTTTTAAAAAATTGTAAGCTCAGACTACAAGGTACTAATTTTATAGCCCCAGTCCACGATTTTTTTTTGATAATCCCTCGTAAATCGTAATAAATTAGGGGATTTCCCTAGCTACTCGTACACGTATACGTACACGGTCATCTGCTTAACCTCTCTAATAAATCGTGCCAACAAATACGAGGGGCGTTCAATAAATAATGTCATTGGGGCTCAGAAAGAAGCGAACGACACTTTTCAATGATTAAGTCTTCATGATTTTACTTATAAATCTATTTCAATTCAAACACATGTCCGTAACATTTTTTATCCAATTTCTGATTGTTTTTAGAACTCATTTTTGGGAACGACCCTTAGTATACTGGTCAAAGGCAGATCCAATGATTTCCTGGACTTGTTTTTTCCTTCTGAAAGGTGTTTTATTCATGTTTGGAAATAGAAACAAGTCAAAAAGTCAAAGATCTGGCAAATATTGTTAATGTGAAAAAACATTAACTTTCTGTTTATCCCGTAAACCACTTTACTCTTTAGGGCATGCGGGTTTAAACGCTGTCATGAAGAAATTCAATGTAGTTGGTTCTTGATTCTGGGTTCTTTCTCTGATAAACCTTTCGATTTCTTTGCAAAAAACTGCTTTCTAGACACCTCAAGATATTAAACTGTCTCCCCGAATACGAATTTGAACAACAATACCACTAATATTTAAGAAAATTGCATATAAATATGTTTTGTGCTCTTGCATACCTTTGCTCTTGACAGACCTTCGCCGTTTTTATCAAGTACATCTTATGGTAAATTTTCTTTAAATGGTTTTGAGCAATACATTCAATTTCCAATATCTGTTTGAATATAAAACAAACATGGACTACTACAATCACTGATATTTTAAAATAATTGTTAAAACTTTTGTACACGCTGTCGTTTTCACTCATTTTTCAAAATACAGGGTGACCATAGAGTACCAACCTTAATTACTGTTAAACGTTTCTTAAAAACAGTGTAAAATACTCCCGATATGATGTCTATAAGATTTGCTATGTGTCGTAAAGTAAATCATACAAATCATACATCAAATATAATTTGTTGAAATTTGGCAAACAGTACATAAGTTCTTATAATTTTTGTTGGCAAGGAGGGTACCCATTTTTGATGCCCATTATATAATTTTTTATCTTTGAAATCCACCTGCTTATTTGTCTATAAAACAGGCATCGGTTGCTGTAAATGTCACATATTTCAGTGAATATTTCTTTGTGAATTTTAACAAGTTTTACATTAGCTTTAATGTAACTTTTATTTTCAATCTAGTTTACTGATTCTTTACCATTCATTTATAATGCAGTGACTCGAATAGCCCTTGTTTCCCAGCTTCTCACGATAAAACCATGTAATGAAAAGTTGTCACATAAACTGTTATAAATTTATTGATGATTCAATAATGAGAGAAAGTCAAGCTTTATGTCAGACTACTATGTTGTATGTCATCGAGCAAATGACATTATTTATTGAACGCCCCTCGTAATATTTAGTGCAATCAAACACTATTTTCTGAAAATAATACTTTAAAAAAAAAAAAATTAAAATCTACATGGCCTAAAACACATCCATTAAATTTATCTCGAGAAAGAATTTTTAGTTCATAAAATACAATTTAGTCGCTTTTGTGTAATCTGTTGTTGGAATTTACCTTCTGTGCATTCCATAAGGTCTTTGAAATTTTCTAGGAGGTTTTCTACACCCGCCTTAGCCCGTGAAAGAACTTTTATCTTGCTGAAGGAAACGTTTCTGCATTCTATAAAAGAAGAAGAATTAATGACATAACTAGAAATATGTCCATAGGACATGAATGCCCCGCCGAGGGTATATCAGTAATGTAATATGAAAAGAATTGGTGTATAAAATTTCAGAATATCTTGAAAAATGACGCAGTTGAATTGCTTACATCAGTATGTATGTCAGCATATGAAGTTTTAACACTAATGGAAGGGAAAGTGAGGTCAAGGGCAAAGAAGGGCCAATGTCAAAAATCTTGATGCAGTTAAAAAGCTCTCATCATATATGTATCAGCATATGAATTTGAAAAATAATAAAAATTAATATAATGAATAGTTTCTTTAAATTGACTTAAACACAATTTGATAAAAGTGAGATCAAGGTCAAATGAACGGTCAAGGTCAAAATCTTGATGCTAATGAATAACTCTCATCAGTATGTATAAAGATATAAAATTTGACTCTAATTTACGAAGACTGAGGTCAAACGAAAGGTCAAGGTAAAAAATGTTGATGCAGTTGAAGAGCTCCTATCAGTATGTATCAGCATATGATGTTTGATAAAAATATATTGGATGGTATCTTTGAAACTGAGCTAAATACCCAATTAACAAAAGTGAGGTGAATGTCAAAGGAAAGGTGAGGGTAAAAATGTTGAGGCAGTTGAATAGCTATCATCAGTATGAATCAGCATATGAAGTTTGATTACACTATCTTGAATGTTATCTTTAAACCTAAGCGAAACACTCATTTAAGAAGTGAGGTCAAGATCAAAGGAAAGGAAAGGTAAAAAAACAATGACGCTGTTGCTTAGCTCTCATCAATATCTATCAGCCTAAGAAATTTTATGAAAATATCTTGATTATTTTCTTTGAAACTGAGCTTTGAACAGAGCTAACGCACAGTGTGACGAAAGGACAGAAGGAAGGACGGAAGACGGACATGACAAACACTATATGCCCCGGCCATATTTATGGCGGGGCATAACAAAATTCGACAAAAAGGGCTCCATGCATATATGATCATGTTTCTAATTATCTCAAGATGACACATATGGAGATAACAAACAGTATTCAAGATCAAAGTCCAGAAAAAAGTATGAAATAGGAGCAGAGCAAACACGGGCCTGCAAAACATCAGAGGTGGGATCGATCATGCAGGTGTCATGGAGCAGTGAAAATCCGCTACCGATCAGTCACAACCCCAGTGTGTTTCTTGTCAAAATCAGAAAGTAACTAAAAAATCCATCGTAAATTCAGTGTATAAATAATGGACAAACAATTAGTATGAAAAACGTCGGTCAGCATTGGACTCAACGATAAATTGTATTTGCTGACAAGGTAATTGTGTCGACCATAAAACTAAAGAAATGATGACTTCAAACGATACTACTGATATTCCTGTTTCATCCACTTGTTTGTCAATAATTTACCTCGTATTAAACATTGTTCATACGAAGAAAATGCTATTGCGTGTCAAATCAACTGAGATACTGGGGTATATAAACTTCTTGTACAGGTGATGAAGGTATATTGTTGCCTAAAACATTGCTGTGACGTCATGCCTTTGTTCTTGCAGTCTAAAAATTTACCTGTAGCCGTCCGATAATAATAATAACCAGTCTGATAATAATATTATCAGACGGCAATGATAACAAAATCCGACGGTATTTAAAAAAACAAAAAGAAGAGTGAAATTGAGGTTAAATATTTCCAGAAACCCCCAATAAAAATGTTAGGAAAAATTCAGGGAAACCAAATGCAAGGAATTTAAGTTGCTACAAATTAGCAAATCCCTGATAAAAAAAGTCTGAGTTGAAACATTCCACAACATTAATACTTTCCACTCTTTAAAAGGATTTTCTGATACAGCACTTTGATTTAGCGAATTTAAATCCATTTTTGAAAAAGAGTGAAAGGCTCCTTATTTTATGTTTGTTCCCCAATGGCCACACTACCTGAGATATTTCCATTATCTAAACTAAAACTTCTCGGTAAAAATCCGCATTTTACTTTCCATGGTGATAGTTATAATATCAACCAAAATTATGTCATTATCAATGTCAATTTAAATATGCACATCATAAAAAAAAAGTTCCCTGAAAAAAAATTCTTTCACCACTGGATCCCTGCCCTGCTAAACTAAGAGCCATTGAATGAATGAAATAGAATAAGAGTTCACTCACATTTTTACTGTCTCATCTCTTTTATCTACTTATCAGACGGATAGAAAACAATAGATGCCTAAACTCCCATTGTGTTATTATCGGACTCCTTGAGGTAAATTTTGGACAATTAAATGGCAATGTTTTAAGTAAGATATATTCCGAATACTGTTCTATATGTAAAATTATCAGACAGTTTTCGGCCCTAACGGGCCTCAAACAGTCTGATAATTTTACATATAGAACAGTATTCGGAATATATACATTACATAAGTAGGGGAAGTTGGAGATTGTAAAGTTAAAGTCATCCCGATTATCAAAGAGCTGGTTTTTAGATTACAATTGAAATCTTTTTTTAAGTAGAATATCCGAGTTCCATTTTTATTGAAAAGAACAGCTGTCAAAGTCTGGACTTTGATTTATGTCGGGGAATGGTTGTGTATAAAGTTGAAAAGTCATTAGTTTTAAGCTGTTGATTTTGTTAAATCTTGTAATTTCAAATTGTCAAAAAGTTCCTTGGAATTCTTAAGTATCTAAAACTGATTTACACCACTTCTAGAATACGGATATTGTTGCAAAGTATTCTTGAAGTTTCTCCTTCACTTCTGTTAATATCTTAGTGAGGGGTAAAGGAAAAGATTTGGTTGAGCATTTATTGGAACCCGCCATGTATTTTTATAAGAATATTATGAAGTTTTGTAATCTAATATATAAATGTAGCAGTTCTAGTTCATTTTGGTTCTTTGGAATATCAAATATATGCAAAACTGACGAATGATGTTGAAGAATTTCTTACTTACAAAGAAAACAATGAGTTTAAGTCGGATTACCACTTGTATACATGTAACCAAATCCACTTTCTCCTAAAATACAATTTATATAATGTGTCTTACAAAGACAATGTTTTACCTGCTTTTTCAGCAAGGACAGCACATACTGATCAAATAATATAATTCTTGTTTCATTTGACACTGTGTCATAAAAATTCATACATAAATGCCTAGATTTTTTTTATTTTAGTCGATCCATTCATTAATCGTGGATATCAACTTTTCAAAGCAATATAGAATCATCTGTCACACAAGAAGGATGCCCCTCAATTTTGTTAAACCTAGCTGAAGCTGTCGCCAAGGTGTACAAATTTCTTCGTATTTGTTTTATGTGCGGAGTTTATTGCTCTCAATATGAAAATAACAAAAATATAAAAGATATCAGTTTGTTGATGATACTGCAGTAATTCTAGATGGGACTGAGAAATCCCTGAGAGCCGCTATTCAGGAACAAATTCATTTTAATGCACTTTCTGGGCAAAAATCTCAAAACTATGGGGCGCCCTTTTGGTATTTACTGCCAAAAAGTGATCTCACCTATTTAATTGGTGATATCACCTATTCGAATAGGTGATATCACCTATTCAGATTTTGAATAGGTGATATCACCTATTCGAATAGGTGATATCACCTATTTAAATACGTGATATCACCTTTTCGAATTGGTGATATTACCTATTTGATTTGAATAAGTGATATCATTTATTCGAATGGGTGATATAACCTATTCGAATGAGTGATATCACCTATTCAAATTGAAAAGGTGATATCACCTATTAAAATGAGTGATATCACTTATTCAAATTGAATAGGTGATATCACCTATTCGAGTAAGTGATATCACCTATTCGAATATGTGATATCACCTATTCAGCACGAATAGGTGATATCCCCTATTCGTATAGGTGATATCACCTGTTTAAATTATTTATGAATAAAAAAAAATCCCTGGACGGCTAAATCTTATTTACTTTCACTTTCGTTGTATAACTCATCACTCTAGGAGACTTTGTATTTTTTTTTAATCAACCCTTTTAGAAATTGTTGTTTGTTTCGATCATAAATTAAATTTATCTTTCTGAAATACCGGTATATAGATTTAATTGTTAGTTTAAAAAAAATCTATTAAGTAAACTTTAAAAAAAAAAATAAAAAAACGCATGAAAACTGGTAAGTCCGAATTTTCTTGGTTCCAGTTGTAATCTGTATGATATAAGGAGCATTCATTTTTTAATGTATTTAGAAATTCAAATAGGTGATATCACCTATTCGAATAGGTGAAATCACTTATTCGAATAGGTGATATCGCCTATTCGAATAGGTGATATCACCTATTCAAAATCTGAATAATTGATATCACTTATTCGAATAGGTGATATCACCTATTCGAATAGGTGATATCACCTATTGGAAACAAATAGGTGATATCACCTATTTGAATAAGTGATATCACCTTTTCGAATAGGTGATATCACCTATTGAAAATGAATAGGTGATATCACCTATTTGAATAGGTGATATCAACTATTCGAATAAATGATATCACCTATTCGAATAGGTGATATCACTTTTTGGCAGTAAATACCAAAACGGCGCCCCATACAAAACACATTTAGTTTGGATAGGTAGCATGAAATATTTAAATGAAAAATTATGTACAGAAATGAATTTTAATTGGACAACCAGCTGAAAAATATTAGGCATTCATGTTTATGTTGACCATACTAATATTCCCAAACTTAATTATAACAAAAAAGCTTGTAAAAATCAAAAGTACATGTATTATTAATCAGTGGAACAAAAGGCATACCACTCCTACTGGTAGGATTACGATGATCAATTCTCTACATATCTCACAAATGAACCACGTTTTTATCTCTCTACAAACACCATCAAGAAAATTCGTTTTGGACAATGTTTTGTTTAATTTCTTGTAGAAATCTAAGGTGGATAAAATTAAAAGAAAACAAATTACCCGAGAGTATACAATTGGAGGCCTGAAAATAATTGAAATTAATTACTATATCAAAGGTCTGAAATCATCATGGATTAAAAGATTACTGATCAGTCAAAATTCAAAATAGAAAATAAAATCATTTTATTAAATGAAACTGTGAATTTGGACAAAGTGTTCTTAGCTGGATACCGGTCACGGTGGTAGAGCGTTCGCTTCGTGATCGGGAGGCCCGGGTTCGATTCTCGTTCGCAGCGCCGCGTCATACCTAAGACGTAAACAAAGGTAGTGGCTGTTCCTTCGCCAAGCGCTCGGCACTAGAAGTGAAAGTCACGGGTCATTCGAATATGACCTTAAAAACGTAGGTCCCGTGTCACGGTAGGCGCTGGCACGATAAAGAACCCTCACTGCTCAAAGGCCCTGAGTGCCGAGTATAGGTTTAAATTTGAAGCCCCTCACCGGCATACGGTGACGTCTCCATATGAGTGAAAAATTCTCAAGAGGGACGTTAAACAATATACAATCAATCAATCTTAGCTGGATCTGATTACATCAATGATGTCTTGCATAATTTAAGAAACCCTTTTTGGATAGATGAGTTTATTGCTTTTCGAGATATTCAAGATAAAATAAAGATAAAAACATGGCAAGAATTTGTAACTCAACCAATTTGATTAAATAATAAAATTAAAATTGGGTGGAAAGTCTATTTCTCTGAATTGTAATGAGAATATTATATATATCAACGATTTGCTTGATGAGAATGAGGATAAAAAGATCTCTAGAAAAAGTTCAACATTAAAACTAATTTTCTTACATATTGTGGTTTACAAAACTCTTTTACAACCAGTCTAAAAAGTGAGGAGATTGATAAGGAAGAAATTAACCATAGACCAATCGTACCATTTTATGAAATTGTTTTACAAAATTATTTTGTTAATCCAAAAAAGGTACTAAAACTATGTTTGACACACTAAATACAGAAGAAATTGTCAAATCTTTTTACAAATCAAAAGAGGAAAGAAAATTCACTTTATCCAAGTTGCAATGGAAAACAATAATCCAGTTACCTTTTATCAGTACTAAAGATACAAAACTACAATGGCTACAATATAGAATCAACCATCAAATCTTAGCCACTAATGTATTTATATTTAAAGTAAAAATGAAAGATAGTGAAATGGTTAATCCCAGTAATTCAGCTTAAGAGACAATTCATCACATACTGTTGGAATGTCCATTGTTCAAGATCTCATTACTATTTTTTGAATTTTGTCAGACAAGGGCTATTGTAATTCCAAGTGATTCTTGTTTTGTTTTTATTATTATTTTGGGTTTAGATCTTGATTCAAGTTGTAAGAATTTGTACCAGATATTCCTGATTATCAAATCCTGCATATACAAAAAACGGTGTCTTGATGAAAAATTATCAATCCATGGACTACTAATAGATATCAAAACTCATCTTTCAACTTTGAAGTACATGTATATCATCAAGGGAAAATTGTTTTTTCATACTTATAACGCTCTAACTATTTTGCATGATTTTAGAATCACCAACTGTGATCAAATATAAGTTTATACAGACAAGGTTTCTTTTCTTCATGTGTTAATAAGTAGCTTCTTTCTCCTTTCTATCTATCTTTCTTTCTTTTTCCCTTCTTTCCTCTCAATCAGAAATCATAAGATTTTTGTTTATTTGCACTGTACATCATGTATATGCTTTTATGAAGTAATTGCTGATTTCACTTTATTATACATGCATTTATGAAATACAAAAAATCTTTTACGTCCGGATTGTTTAATATATAGGTATAGATGGGTTTCATATTTCCTCTCAGTCTTACATTGCGCTTGAAACATATATTTGATACATTTTGTCAAAGTGTCAACGTCTTCGTTTTCATATCTGCCCCATCGCCTAAAATATTTATGAAATTGGAGTAAATCAGTGTCTTTTATTGCACTTGTTTCAGGGTAATTCCCTTTACTTTCCGGGGTAACGAAGAAAAGTGACCCCGTATGCGTAGATCATTGACCGGGGGGTCCATGGTACCTGATCCCACCTCTGATGTTTCAGAGCTCAGTGTTTGCTCTGCTCCTATTTTGTATTGTTTTATGGACTTCGATATTGAATTGAATACTGTTCGTTATCTCCAAATCCTTCTTTGCTTATAATCAGTCGTGCAAACCAACCAACAAAAGCAACTTACCCTGGGGCTACATGTTTCAAAATTTCGGAAATTTAGTCATAAATTTTATTTCATCATAAATGGTTGATTAATACCAAAGAGCATACTGTAAAGCATTTATTTATCTTCAGACTATGTACTGTAATCACCCCTCCCGATACCCCTAACCCAGGTAACATAAAATTAATCATTTCGATAGATGCACCTTTTTTATCATTATAAATATATATATACTAAGATGATTGGCATAATACCCAGCTCCAATAGAAAATATTTTCAAAGAATTCATGCATTTTCAATATATATATATATAATCCTTAGAGCACCGCCCTTATACCATAGCCCCTAACCCAGGGGCCATGAAATTCACAATTTTGGAAGAGGCATTTTTCCACATCATAGCTACACTGTATGTACGAATATACTGTAGATTCCTAATTATACGAGTGAAATAAATTATCGCGTAATTTCGCAAGAAGCACCACCCGCGAAATGAAATTACTCCCTTCTGTTTTTAATCGTGCTGAAATATATGTAAAATCTCTTTATTAACCGTCCATTCGTTAATTATTATTTTCGTGATTTGACATTGAAGAGCCAATTCGCGATGATGGTACAGTAGTTCATTAGTTTAATAACAAGGAGCAGAGGTGAAGATTTTAGAAGAACCAATGTATTTTCACTACGTAATCAAAGGAGCCCTGTCATAACACCACAACCCCCAATCCAGGGGCCACAAAATTCACAATTTCGTAAGAAACAGTCTTGCTCATAATAACTTTATACTTAGTTTGTTTAAATCCCAGAAGCAAAGCAAAGAAGACGATTTTTAAAAGAATTAAAGTATCTTTACTTTATGATCAGAAGAGCCCCCTCCTTACACCGGATTCACTAATCCAGGGGCCACGAAATTCTCAATTCTTGAAGAGGCATCCATCTACATCATAACTACATACGTACCTACTTAGTTTTATTGGTTTAATACCCATGAACAGAGAAGTTTATTTTTGAAAACTTAATAATTTTCATTATATAATCAATAGAGCCCCTCCTAACAGCAGTACCCTGACAATTGAGTCATAAAACTCACAATTTTTTAAGATGCACTCTTGTTTAACATAACTATGTGCTTATAATCTTTAATACCCAGGAGCAGAGGAAGATTTTCATGTATTTTTCCTTTATAATTAATAGAGCCCCGCCATTAAAATACACAGATAAACATATATATAGAGAACATAAATCTGTTTATTACAGTAATTATTTTTTTTTTTTTTTTGAAAACACGCAGTTTCAGTTTCTAAGACGTGTTTCCCCGCAGAAAAACCCTGGATAAACTTTTCGATTGAAACTTCGCGTTCATTATATCGGTAGTATTAAAAGTTGTTTTATCTTTTGATAACATTCAGTAGTGTTTCCCCAACATAATACCAAAAATAAAGATATCTATATAGAAGATATTTCTGTTGATTACATTAGTGGTATTAAGAAATGGTTTCTGTTTTTATAAAACAGTTTCAGTTTCAAACGTGGAAGTTTGCATCTTAAGATTTACCATCCATGCAAATTTGGTCAACATAGGGCTTATAGTAACTCGGAAATGAGACTGACACCAAAACTGCACCAAAAATGTTTATCTGCTCCAAAAACATTAATCTTGTCATTCCTTTGCTGAAATTGCAGCATCTGAAACTTTGACTGGTACAATGAAACACACCAGAAACATATTCCATGCAAGTCTAATCAATATAGGACATAGAAGTACTTAAAAAGAAAACTGCTCCAAAAAACTTAACCTTAACCCGGAACGCCAACACCGACGCCGAGGGTATTACATACTTTGAGGTGAGCTAAGAAAGTGTATAATATAAGATCTTTGAATGAAGTATTTGATACCGTATTTACATGTACGTTATTGGACTATTCTCCAAATAGTACCCCTAACACTACATATATGCACCATGTGTAATGTGTATGATCATGTATCGCCATTCATTGCTTTAATAAATCGTCGAAAAATTCTCAGCTAATGAAATCCATCTATCAAGGTATGTAAATGTACTTACTAGGATAAACAAGAATTTTAGAATACAAATAAAACTATTTTCTGTAGAACACAAATGGAGTTCACATGAAAAACATTTGAATGCTTATTCTGTATTTCACAATCGTACAAATGGTAACTGACAGAATATTGATGAAAATAGACGTAAAGGTACGGTAAGTAGAAAACATACAATATATTAAACAAAAGAAAAACAGTAAAATAAACACATCCTTCAAAGCCCGATAGTCGTAAAAGTTTAAATATTGTGTAAAAAGGAAACTTACTCATGGAATGAATAAATAACATTTATAGGTTATGCCAATACAAATTAAACAAACTAGAAAATTTCTTGGTACCCATAAGTATACGTTAAGTTTCTGAATATATGATATACTTTATATCTTACCCCTTTCACTGTCCATGATTAAATTAAAAATATGCCAATTTAATCTTACTATAAGTGTTGCATGATGGTAAAGATGAAGCTTTCCAATTTATTTTTATTTCAGAAAAAATTTTGCCTGAAATAAAAATAAACTGAAAAGTTCCATCTATATATAGATGGAACTTTTCAGTTTATTTTTATTTCAGACAAAATTTTGTTTGAAATAAAAATAAACTGAAAAGTTTCATCAACCAAAACATTTTGAAAATTTCCACATATCTTACTACATATAAATTCAAACTAAACTGATGATACTTCAGAACAATTGTACCTTACAGCAAAAGATGGGTCAGGTAAGACATAGCTATAGCAAACATAGTATAATTTCTATAAAGACTATGATAAAAATTTACCCCAATTTGTACTTAAAATTGCTTTTCTTTCCGATTTTTTGTATCTTGATGACTCTTTAAAATCCCGATTGACTGAGCGATTGTCATAATGCCCTAAATTTTTCAAGATGTTTTATATCAGTATTGAAACATAATTTGAGAACTCGCAGTTTCATGCTTTATTTGAAAATGCATTTATTAAAAATGCATGACTAATTTGAAGCATGCAATTTATGTGAGCTATATATTAAAAAAAAATACACTTGCATATATAATATAGCATCGTTTTTCTTCGGTTACAGACACTTTCTAAAAAGTAATACCGTAAAGCGGGTTATTTTAGCGGGGTGCTAATTTTGGCTTATTTTGGCGTTTTGAGGGTTGCCCGCTAAAATTTCAATCGCTGAAATAGTGAGTCAATAGTTAACTTAGTCTTCTTAGTGTTCATCGGTAAAGAGATGAAACCATGTGTCCGCTAAAATAAATTAAGCCAAAATTATTGGGGTACCTTTCAGCAGTCAAAACGCCAAATTTTACACCCGCCAAAAAACCCGCTATACGGTAAATCGCCGATAAACATAAGCTATTGAACGGGCAGAAGGATGAGTCTTAATCTCTTCTCGAATAGTTTCTTTTTATTTTAAAGTCTTGTTGACTAAAATTGCCGTTAATGTTTAATTTGCAGTATTACTGTATTGCTTTTTCGTGTCACGGCCTGGCATTAAATCATTGTAATAATTTTAAGCTGTGACGTATGGCATTCTGAGACGAATTCTTCGTTTACTGACTTATAGAATTTGTATTTGTGTTTTTGTATTTCTTCTCAAATTAAATGTTCGGGAAAACATTGGAAAAATCATCCACAGAAAAGGGACTTTGTTCATTATCTCATTTAGGTTAATTGCATTGCCTGATATAAAACTAAATTATTTTTGAAGAAACATTGTATCATTTTTAAATCCTACATTTTTTCCTTTAGTTTGAATAACAACACTTAAAAATCAACAGTATGGGGTATCGACGCAGCAATCAGACATCTGGATCACATTCGATTACTTTTACCACTGGGAGATCAACTGGTTAAGTTTAATTATGTGCTAAGGACAATTTGAATACTAAATCTTATTTGCATTTTGATTAAACTTGCTCATAAATATGTTTATAAACTATCAATTTTTGTCTTAATTCAAGGAAAATACCTTAAATAGCGTTTGTTTCATTTAGTTAGCAATGAAGCGGAAACATTGAAAAAATGGATAAACTTTAATGATCAGCTCGACAAACAAATTACATTTCTTCGAGAACACTGCTCCAGAGCCAGAGAATCAAAAGCAAAAGTTAAGGAAAAGACAATATGTGTGTCGACTTGACGTAAAGAATTTATTGATTTAGTGAAGAATGTATCCACAAAGAGCTACAATCTGTAGTGAATTTTTAAATGAAATAAAATAATTACGTATTATATATTTTTTCCTTCATCATTTGTGTCTTCTATACGATGGTATAGACGAAATAAAAAATCCACTTTAGAATTTAACTGGACAGAAACTGTTGGTTTTTAATCAGAAAATATTCTAGAGGGGAACATGGGAGTCTTTATTACAAGATAGAATGTCGTAGAAATCGTTATCACGACTTAAAAAACTGTGGTTTTGACATTTTATTTCGTTATCTAATGTAAAGGCATTTACAAAGTAACTTAAGTTACCTAACCTAACCTTACAATATAAATTGATATTAGGCATTGTAAACTGTTTCCTGATTCATTTTGATGTTACTTTTTTGTTTGTTTGCATGTTTACCTGGTCACAAAAATCATTTCACCTCTAATGTTATTATTCTATATAAGATTATTTAACTCACTCATTATAGATCTTTGCATCAAACATAATTGGGGTGTACGGCCACCTTTAGGGCAATGAAAACAAAATGTTAACATTTCTTCAGATTGCTAAAAAACATCAAAATGTGATCAAATTTTAAATCCTTATGATAGAGATACAAATATATGCAAAACTGAATCTATGTTGTGTGTAAATATTTTATATTTAGAAGTGCGCAGCTACAAATTTCACGGGAGCCTTTAAAAGTAAAAATAAATTGGCTAATTTTGCATTATGTTCTATCTACAACCATTTGTTGAGAAAATGTAATTTCAAGTTCAAAACAAGGCACTGCTGTTTTCAAAATGAGTGTAATGAACAAATTAAGTAGTTCATAGATACTGTAGCAGCACGTGATCTATTTCTAGTTCAGATTTTTTCCATACAACTTCTTATCATGGAGGCACATAATGGGCTTGAATGAAGAAACGTAAAATCAGAGGAAAAGTAATACAGGATATAACTTGAAATTTGATCAAATTCCTATGTACTTTAGTAATTTAAAAAATGTTTACATTTTGTTATTCCACCTAAGTTGCCCAGGCATCTCCCTTAAACATCTGACTCGATGTATTATATTCAAACCTTCAAGTCATCTTAATGTTGCTCAGTAAACAATACAATTGAGCATCACTTTAATAGTGAATGATAATAAAGCCACACTAATGTACAATTACAGGTAACTTAATGCTCAGATTCTAAATTATGCATAAATAACAAACATTTGTATTTGAAATGTTCAAAACTTTATCATCTTTTGAAATGACAAATCCAAAAAGACACGTAAATTATGTAAATCCCGATGCATAATAATTTTAGAACATCCACATCCGGAAGTTTCTTTATAAATAAACAAACTCCTCACCCTATTCAGAAAATTTTGAAATGAATGCTGGATTTATAAATAATTCCTGTAAATTCCCAGTACCATTGCTCAGTAGTTCATTTTCCCTTTCCTTGTATAAAAAAATTTTGTTATAAAGCTCATTCAAGCTTGACAGTCCCATTTTAATAGGCCCCTTAAGACAAATATAAAGCCCTTACAAGCTTTGGAAAATCCACATCTTAATATAGACACACATATATATATAATTTAAAGCTCATTTAAGATTTGAAAAACCACATCTTAATATAGATACATATAATTAAAAGCTAATTCAAGCTTTGGTAAACCACATCTTAATATAGAAACATATCAGAAGATGAAAATTTGTACATGTAATTGTGCTCTTCTTTTATTACAAATGACAATTTCAACTGTGGAATAATGAATCCTCTAAGAAAATTGCTTTATGAATTATAATGAAATAATTTGTCCTTGAGAGAATATTAAATGAAATGGACTCCCTCGTGATTAAATTTGCTACATATAAGATAGGAAGGCTAATATTTCTTATTTTTATAATATCCTTATCTTTATTTTTTTTTTACATATTCTTTCTTTGAAATATTTATTGATACACTGCCAATTTTCAGGAAGAGGATGCTGATTAACATAGTGAACCAATTGACTTTCTGTTTCGATGGTTTATAAAGACTCTAAAATAAAAAAAAATGACAAGTTTGTCCTCATTAGGTGTTTCATTTTAAGATAATGCCAGTCCATTTATTTATGGATCTGAGATTTCTTAAATGAAATACATATTTACTCTTAGTATATGTCAGAATTGTTTATATTTTTTATAGAGGAAGACAAAGCCCCCCCCCCCCTTTAACGGATATAAATTCCTTACTATATAGGAATGAATCATTATTACGAAAGTTCTGTTTTTAAACTTTTCTAATCTTTTCTAATAAATGTCAATATTAAAATTAATGCTAAATTTAAATATGAAAAGAAAAAATTATTACTTTTCAAGCATAATACTTTTATATAAATATTATATATCAAGCAAGTTAACTTTTGTTATCAATTATACAAATTATACTGTATATAGCGCTGCTTCTTTAATAGTAAATCAGATGAATCGAGGAAACCATCTAAATATAGAAATAGATAATAAGGTAACCATTTCATTTATTAAATTGTTCTGATTTAAAATGTACAGTATTTTAAGGCACGAATAACAAGTATCCGTGAGGAAAATTAATTATTCAAATAATTCACAACAACAATAATAATAATAATAATAGCCGGTAACTGTTTCAGTTATTTCAATTTTTTGACAAACTAGTAGAAAAATATTCGTTCTCCCAAATCATACTTTTGAGTATGTTTGGAAAACCACATATTAATATAGACACATATATCATCAAGTTTAAATTAAATTTGTATCTAGGTGTCCTCTTTTTATTTTCAATGGCAATTCCAAGGTGAGGTAAGTATTTCCCGTGAGGATTTTCTGCTTATTCAAGGTATCACATGATACCTCATGTAGTTCCTGGTTTTAAAAAAAAATAATCTGATTTTTGTTTTGTTCTGTTTCATCACAAGTGTGTCGACAGATAGTGTTTAACTTTATGAAGCATAACGTTTTGAGATGGGTTAAGACAAGTATATATACATGTACCAACAATGCACTCTTCTAAGAAACCAACGTCCCATTCAAATATCATACAAACAACTTTCTTTACACTAAAGCGATCAATAAAATATTTTTTGAACATTCCTTTTATAAAGAGGGTGTTGCAGTTCTTTTGTTATTTTCCCTTAATGTGTAGCAGATTAAAAGAAGAATTTCATGTAACAGAAACTGACACTATATTTTTTGTCAATTGCAACATTATATAAAGCACATCGAGAAACAATATTTGGAAGCTGCGTATTGACTTCCAATTTGCAATTAAATAAATTGTAAATTAGTCTCACGGCAAAATATATCAGATTTTCTATTTTTTAGAATCCCTATCGTTCTGAAAAATTGCCTCCTTGAAACAGCTTAATTTTTATATATGCACAAAGAAACAGGAATTTTCTTCAAAACTGCAATTTCCAATTTTCAAAGAGGCACATTTAAAAAAAAAACGCAGAAATTGAAGTTATTTTCCATACGAAATGCAGAATGTGTACATTAAATAACAAGGGTATATGGATTGTGTTCGAAATGGTCTTCTGGATATGCTGCTGGACTTTCAACTACATGTAATACTTAACCATGAAATGGGTCCTTTTTAGCTCACCTCGACGAAGTCAAGATGAGCTTATGCTATACCCCCGGCGTTGGCGTCGGCGTTAGCGTCGGCATCCCAGGTTCAGGTTTTAGGAGCAAATCCATTCCCAAGTAACTATTAGCCCTATTTGAACCAAACTTGCATGGATGATGCATCTAGGGATGTTCACTACCAGACTTGCTTCGGATGCTGAATCTGACCTACATTTTCTAGATGAGTGACCAGGTTAAAGTTTTTGGAACAGGTTAAAGTTTTCGGAGCAGGTCCATTCCCAAGGAATTATAAGCCCTACCCAGACCAAAATTGCATGGATGATGCATCTATGAAAGTACACTACCAGACTTGCTTCGGATGCTGGAACTGACCTAAATTTTCCAGATGAGTGACCAAGTTAAAGTTTTTGGAGCAGGTCAATTCCCATGGAATTATAAGCCCTACCCAGACCAAACTTCCATGGATGATGCATCTATGAATGTACACAACCAGACTTGCTTCGGATGCTGGATCTGACCTACATTTCCCAGATGAGTGACCAGGTTAAAGTTTTTGGAGCAGGTCCATTCCTCAGGAACTATAAGCCCTATCTGGACCAAACTTGCATGGATGCATCTAGGTATGGACACTACTAAACTTGCTTCGGATGCTGGATCTGACCTACATTTTCATTCCCAAGAAACTATGAACCCCACCTGAAGCAAACTTGCATGGATGATGTTTCTAGGGATGTACACTACTAGACTAGTTTCAGATGCTGGATCTGACCTACATTTTCATTCCCAAGTAACTATAAGCCCTATTTGGACCAAACTTACATAGATGATGTATCTAGGGATGGACACTACCAGACTTGCTTCAGATGCTGGATCTGACCTACGTTTTCATTCCCAAGTAACTGTATGCCCTTCCTAAATCAAACTTGCATGGATGATGGATCTCGGGATGGACACTACCAGACTCGCTTGGGATGCTGGATCTGACCTACATTTTCATTCCCAAGTAACTATGAGCCATATTTGGACCAAACTTACATAGATGATGTATCTAGGGATGGACACTACCAGACAAGCTTCAGATGCTGGATCTGACTTACATATCCATTCCCAAGTAACTTTAAGCCTTACCTGAAGCAAACTTGCATGGATGATGTATCTAAGGATGGACACTACGAGACTTGCTTCGGATGCTGGATCTGACCTACATTTTTCATTCCCAAGTAACTGTAAGCCCTAGCTAAACCAAACTTGCATGGAAGATGTATCTTAGGATGGACACTACCAGGCTTGCTTGGGATGCTGGATCTGACCTACATTTTCATTCCCAAGTAACTATGAGCCATATTTGGACCAAACTTACATAGATGATGTATCTAGGGAGGGACACTACCAGACTAGCTTCAGATGCTGTATCTGACTTACATTTTCATTCCCAAGTAACTTTAAGCCTTACCTGAAGCAAACTTGCATGGATGATGTATCTAGGGAGGGACACTACCAGACTTGCTTCGGATGCTGGATCTGACCTACATTTTTCATTCCCAAGTAACTGTAAGCCCTAGCTAAACCAAACTTGCATGGATAATGTATCTTAGGATGGACACTACCAGGCTTGCTTGGGATGCTGGATCTGACCTATACTTTCATTCCCAAGTAACTATAAGCCTGCTTGAACCAAACTTGCATGGATGATACATCTTAGGATGGACACTATCAGACTTGCTTGGGATGCTGGATCTGACCTATGTTTTCCATACAAGAGACCAGGTTAAAGTTTTGGGAACAGATCAATCCGAATGAACTTGAAGTCTTTGATATCTGCAGTTTTAACAGTTATAAATATTTGTTTACACAATACATGTTTTTCACACTAAACGCATAGAAATGTGTATATGCCATGTAGAGGGTTAAGCACAACTTGCAAGAATATTGTTGTTGGGATGAATACTTATTTTTAAGAAAATATGATGTAGGATTTGTATTACTTACACTGATAACATTCGTCGAGGTGAGCTTCGTAATCTTTGATTACCTATGTTTGCATATTTTTTTTTCTTTGTTCATATGTAATGGTAGATGGTAGTGCAATTCAATATATATTATATAAAATAAAGTTTTGATTAAATAGTTTTTTATACATACAGTAGTTTTTGCAAGTTTGATTCATTTCGGCCTGTCATTTAGTGGCCAAGATTTTATTTGAAATAAATGAAATGTCTTGGATTTAGCACCAACAGTGTGATTATGGGACGCAGTTTTATATAATATACATCACAAGATATTGAATATACATCACAAGATTTTGAACATACATCACAAGATTTTGAATATACATCACAAGATTTCGAACATACATCACAAGATTTTGAATATACATCACAAGATTTTGAATATACATCACAAGATTTCGAACATACATCACAAGATTTTGAATATACATCACAAGATTATCGAATATTGCAACGTTTGACATGCCATAGAAAAAAGCCACGCATGACATGCATTTAATGTGAATATTGCCATTTGGCACTGTTCTAATTATCTACCCACCTGAAGTATCTTTTTAAGGATCGGCTATCATTACTTTTACAGTGTAGCTCTTTTACAAAATTTCTACTTTTTTAGTTTTCAAATAAAATATATTCTTGAAAAGTTAACGATAAAGATATACATGTACGTGTACATGAAAACCAATGAATAGAAATTACAGCTATAGCAAAGTATTACGTCATTATTTAAACTCTTCACCTCTTTTCCAAGAATTGCAATTTTAACACCAAATACGTGTTTAAAATCTTTCAAAACTCCAAAATCTCTACAATGTAACCTGCTTAATTTATGAGTAAACACGTGTTCAAAAGTTTGCCAAATTAAACGTAAATTTTCAAATCATAGACAACATTTATTGATAAAAATTTTTTTGGCCTATTTAGACAGAAAATTAATAATAATAAGACTTTAACTGATATGTTGTCTGTCCTTTGGATGAGACCGGAATACCGTACTTCAGTGTGAGAGCAAGGATGACCTCTAGAAGATTTTTTACTAAAAAGCTTTTAAAACAGGGTCGAACAATTTTTTTTATAATAAAATAATGAATCAGATGTAAAAGGCTTAAAAAAACAAAACATTTTAAAAAAAAATGCGAAATAAATGGTCATATTCCGTTTTCTTAGGTGGGTGGGTGGGTGGGTGGGGGGGGGGGGTAGGGGTGATGGGTGTTGTTGTTCTTGTTTTTATTTTTCTTTACTTTGTGTACTAAATATTAAGTGATTGTACGTAAAGAATAACGTACATTAGCATTAAACCTTTTAAGTTTAAATAAAATACTATAAGACAAACCTTTCATTTTACAGACAGACAAACGGGCATTCTTCTTCAACTTTTCGTTTCTTTTTCCATGAAATCAATATATTCACCGAATAAATAAAATTCCTATACCAATATACATTATTTTAACGAAGTCCTTCAACTTTTCTTTATATGTACAATGTTATGGTCAGATTTCATTCATTGATCTTTGATCTCCTTTTATTTTAACTTTTGACCATAGAATTTTCTACGACCGGGCAAAAATTATTGCTTGATAATATATCTGACCAAAAAAGTACAAATCAGCCGTAGGGTAGGGTGGTACATTAAAGTCAAATTTTTGATGGTCTTGTCACTCCACTATTAGTAAAAGCAGGTGTAAGCGTCAATGAACGAAACGTTGATGGAATTTCTCCTCTTCACTTGGCTACTTCAAAGAATGACATTCTTGTTGCATATATTACTTGACTATGGAGCAGACGTTGCGCAGAGGACTAAAACAGGAGCTACTGCGCTACACTGGGCTTGTAAAAACTATAACATGCTCCATGTTATTATCCATTTCGTTCTAGACAGTAATTACGATCTTAATGTTGTTAACATTTTGGGTCAACAGCTCTTCACTGGGTAGTATGGTTCAAATAAAAGTCTTCAGTTCAAACGTTACTTCAAATTGGATCTGATTACACATTAAAAGATAAAGCTGGAAATAACCCCGAGGTGTTAGCCAAAAAATTGAATTTTGCTTATTTTTCCGATTTAAATGATGGCAAAAAATTTCAAGAAATGGACTTGTTGGAACTACAGGTACCGAATTTGGAATGCAGTGGCATGGACTCTTTAATTACCTGTCCACACCTGAGGTACATGAGGAAAGAAAATGACAAACTATATATTGAAAAGTATCTCGACCATCTGAATCTCCACGAATCATCTATTCAGTCTTGTTTGCAAAGATCTCTGACTTTGATTGAAATGGGACTATTTTACTCACTGGAAGATAATCATCTGGTTCCAAAGAAAATTCACCACCTATTAAAGCTTTTTGCTGAAAACATTAGCACAAATTCTACCAAGTTTTTTGAAAACATCAAAGGAAACCGGCGGACATAATTCTTCAATAAATCACGAATCATCAAAAATTATCAGATCAGAAACACGTATCAAATCTGAACAATTCAAATGCATGTTTGGCTGTAGAATGAAATACTTGTTTAGACCGCATCGATGTGTCGTCTTTGGCAGTAGAAAGACTGTAAATTGCATCAAGTTGCTGATGAATTCGGTTTTTATAGCTAAGCGGGGCTATTCCACGGACCTACCTACACATTAAACAACGTGATTTTAGCAGTAAAACAGGAACATGATTTTGTTGTTGTATTCATTTTAACTGATCAATACAGATTACGAACAAATTTGTAATTTAAAAAGGCTATTTTTAATGTAACGAAAGCTCAAATCGTCTGCATTTTATACACAAGTAAGCAAACAAATTTTACCTCTGGTGTTAAATGAAACAGCGTAATCGAGACATGGTGACCTGATTCGTTTCTCTATAGAGGAAACGATTATCCGTAGTTAAGAGATTGTTGTTATATATGATAGAATAGAAATAAAGTCCTCGTTATCGTGAATGATGCAGAATAACCTCCTCGGTCTCGAAATGTTGTTTGATATATAATCTTCCATTATCTTTTAAACAACATTTCTCGACCTTGGAGGTTATTCTGCAACATTCACGAAAGCGCGGACTTTATTTCTTAAATATCCTTTATTTAACTGCAAAGTTAAGCTAGCTGGGAGTATGTATGAAGGAACCAAAGTGAGAATTCGAGATTGATTTGATTATTTATTTATCCTTTCCGATTTCTCCGGACTGTTGAGGATGATATGTTTCCTGAAAGTTTTGTGAAAATCCGGATAAGATCAGGAGATCAGAATTCTCCCTATGATAAATATCTTGACAGTCAATTGTTTCTTCAAGAGTTCTATGAATGTGTAAATGAAGAATTGGGAATAATACTCAAAGAAAACGAAGACTACTGTCATATTGTGCTTCTGGAAGCCAAATTTTTCTATTCCTCAGTAGATGTTGTCCCTGCTCTACAGTTTGCAGACTGGACACCGAAGCATCTACATTGCCAAAAGAAAGATATTTGCCAAAATGAAACTGTGGACAGATATTCAACAGTTATTATGAAAACCCCTGATAGATGTCATGTGGAAGATTTTACTTTGTTCTATGGAATTTCTTATTCTTATTTAGAACAGAGTATCATTAAAGACATTCCATGTCCTGTTAAAAAGAGTTACATCCTTCTAAAAATTTTAGTGGAATCTGGATATTTCCCTAAGATTGTGGACCATGATTTCAACAGAGCTGTGAAAACCTATATAACAAGTTATCACCTGAAAACTTGTCTTCTTAACGAATGGTATGAACGGACCCTTCACTAGGATAAAAGTTCCACAATAACCAAGGATAATCAAAATGAAGTCTCGATAGCATGGGCCGGGAGAATATTAAATCGTTTTCAGAACAGTGTGAAGAAAGCATTTCTGCCTTCATTTTATAATCCAAATAAAAACTTTGCAAAAGAACGGAATGTGAGAAAAAGATAAGGTTGCTCAACTTGGCGAATTGTTAGTGCCTATCCTGAATGTAGCAATATGCAAAATAAGAGAACTCTTGAGAAACTGTATTGTTCTTTATTTTTTGCTCCACGTTTAAGGGTTTGGTAGGTTGATTTTGATTGATTGATTGTACATTGTTTAACGTCCCTCTCGAGAATTTTTCACTCATACGGAGACGTCACCGTATGCCGGTTACGGGCTTCAAATTTCTCACAACACTTAGTGCAGGTCTTGATGACAGGGGTATGTGGTTAATACATGAATATTCATAACTATGGCATTTTTCCTTCAACATCCAGTTGCAATAATGTTTTCAATTACTCACACTGATACATCAGAAATATTGGTTAGTCGGTGTTCAAATAAGTCGTGTATAGATATGTGACAGATATCTATTTTAAAAAAATGAGAATCTTAAATTTGTTCTGATGGTGGTCAATATGCAATTTGTTAACAGAGTAAACTAAAATTTGAGTTTCTTTGTTTTCAGTTTACTTGTTCTTGCTACGAAAGCGTAGTAATGCCTCGGCAATATATTTTAAAATTGACAAGCCAAGATAAAATTTGAAAAAAAGCTACTTATACATGTAATAGAAAAGTCGGAATAAAAGTTTTAAAAACTTTCAAAGAACCACAATCACGCAACTTATATTTACCAAAGCAATTTGTACTAAATTGTCGGGTAAAGAATTTATTCGTTTTTGAAATAAAAATGTAAAATTAAACAAAGTTTTTGAATTTTTAATTATATTGTACACCAGCATGACGCCAGCTTTAATTGTATTTTCTTACAATTGTGCAGTTTATTATTAATAACTGATGAGCAAATGCAGATTTGGTTATCGTTTGAATGTCAGTACATGTTTTACATCAATTCACATAATGTAAGATAAAGTGATCTTAAACTCTTAGAAGAAACCTTTTTCCGAAATCGAAAAAAATGTTAAAGACGACATGAAAAATTATATGGAAATAATCTCAGAAAAAAGAGAATTAAATTTCATTTACATGTATCTATAAGACTATGGAAATTATTTTCATCTGCTTCTCTGCACTAATGATGTTTTTTTTTTCTGTTGTCAATAATCATATACAAAGAGCATGCTGTTTGCGGACATCTGCTGTTCTTACAATTTCTAGCAATTACTCCAGTTTTACAATAAGTGTAAAAAGGTATCAGATAAACATAACATCTAGGTAATTCCAACATCTTTTCCGAGAACAAAATGTTTGAATTGGTTTTTCTTGATCTTAAATTAGAAATGACTTATCCTCGTTCTTCCAATTCTCTAGAGTTGCATCATAAAATTTCATATCTCAAAACTCAAGAATCTTTTGTCGATGGGCGTCAATGAAAACACGCGCAAGGAAACATTTTCTTCTATTCAAACGAAAGTGTGAAAAATTTTATCAAATGAATTTTGTATTATTTAAACATCTTGATTTTTATGAAATTTAACTATAAATGAAGATAATGAGTAATATGATCTAAGCTTCTTTTGTACGTTATGTGTTCATCAATTAATCAAAAACGTTTCTTTGTTCGTTTAAAAGAAATTCATTGTACACCTTGTACCGATTTTTTGATCCTCTGAAAGTCACGTATTTGTACATTTTTTGCATAAATACCCCTTTTGATTGATTGATTGATTGTATACTGTTTAACGTCCCTCTCCAGAATATTTCACTGAAATGGAGACGTCACCATTGCCGGTGAAGGGCTGTAAATTTAGGCCTGTGCTCGGCACTTACGGCCATTGAGCAGGGAGGGATCTTTATCGTGCCATACCTGGTGTGACACGGGGCCTCGGTTTATACGGTCTCATCCGAAGGACCGACCCATTTAATCGCCTTTTACGACAAGCAAGGGGGTACTGAGGATCTATTCTAACCCGGATCCCCACGGGGGAATACCCCTTTTGTGAAAAAAAAAAATATATGCAAAATTTTATGACATTTTATTTGGCATTTACAGAAAAGAAATGGTATACCCCCCAAAAAAATATCCATGCAGAGGAAATTAATGTCCATTTGATAATATATTAACATTCTGATATTATTATGCATATGTCTTTTTCAAGTGAAATGAGGAGCTGCACTATACTATTATCATATACTTTGTTTATCTTTTAAACGTGTTTACTATGCTAGTACACTGTAATTATTTTCATTTAAAGAGTTATCTGTCCTTTTTCTTCGTTATGTGCTTATTCAATATTACGCGCGACAATACGAACACGTTTAGTTTGGCAACCGACAACAATATACTGAAAGACGACAATACGTACAGTAAGGGTAGGGCTGGTACATTTTGTTGACTTTATGAGCAAAAAAATAAAGTAAAAAATATCTGATTTGATGATAATAGGGCCATTTAAAAAAAAATGTTTTTTTTTTCCTTTTAATCTTCTTATCCCTTCAACAAATATATAGGCCCTATGTTAAAATGCGGACAAAACATTTTCCTACCTACCTACCGACCAAATAATTTTCAGTTTGTTGAGGGCAAGCAGGTCATGAAGGTATATTGCTGCATAAGTAATGGAAGTTGACGATAGAAAAGTTAACATCATGACGTTTATCATAGAGCTTGTTTGTTACATTACCATTAACGTCTTTTTCAAGTAAAATATCCAAATATGAAACAGATGTGTCAGTCGACTCTGTGGTATCTTTTATCTCAAGCTCACCAGGATATATCATATCGACATAAGAATGGAAAAGCCTAATGGTTATTGACAATACCTCGTCCATATCCAGTGTATCTAAATGTCGAGCTGATTTTGAAGAATTTCTTTCTTAGAAAGAGTACTATGATTTAAAATTGGATTACCACTTGTAGAATTAAATCCAAGTACTTCTAAAATACAATTTATATAATGAGCCTTACGAAGGAAGGCCATTTTGTTACACATACCTGCTTTGTCAGCAGGGAGTATGTACTGATCATCTTATGGGTTAAACTAAGCAGAATATAACACTCTTTATATGTACAATGAAATCTACTCAAATGTCCTTGAAAAATTATTTAAAATATCTTTTAACGTATCTAATTTCCTTTTAGAAAGCTTTCATATTAATTTTAGTTAAGGAATTTATATTTGTTTGTTAATTTCATTAACCAGCAAGTAAGATACGAAAAATATTATGGTTTCCCAAATCTACGATAAAGAATGTCCCTCTAAATATTGATTGTACAGTTTATTAAAGCGATATTTACATGTATTTACTTAATGACAAAATTTTCAGGGATATAAACAGAATTTTTCACTTGTACTATCAGAAATGCATTTTTAAGGAAAAAAATTAGGATTGTTTCATATATTATTGATAGACACTTTTAAAAGATATATTTCACAGATATTTTACAGATGCATAAGTTCTGTATTTTTCATTGCATCAAATTTGATTTAAGCTTATCAGCTGCTTTAAAATCGTAAGTAGGATCTAAACACTTCACAAGAAAACGCACAACATATAAATTCATCATCTAAAAATAACGCTGATAAAAACAACAGTTATCACATTAGGTTTAAAAACAAAATTTTAAGCTCAAAGGGTGGGGATGCTACGAAAATATTTTAGATTGACGTTGTTTTAAATGACTTTACTTAAAGCATTTCTAATCAATGATAAATATTTAACACAAAAATATACAAAAGTGTCGATTGAAATATCAAGTAAACTTGAAACGTCAAGTTTGATAGTAATCCATGCAGTTCGCGGAGAATAGAAATTCTGATAAAGTGATTCATTGCTTCTAGATACACTTATTTTAGAAAATATTTGTTTTGAAAATCCAATTGAGAAAAGTTTCGATTTGGTTGTTAAAATATAATATTTTGTAAAGATCATGGTTCATTTAAAGGTCTCATTTAAAAATTACGGTCCAGGATTAAAATTTCATGATCTTTAAAAGACAGTTTTCGGATAAATAATTATGTTCTTCATAAAAATAGCCCCAATAAAAATAATTAAATGTTTTTCAAATAAAGAAGTTGCGTCACTTTTTAAAATCGTAAGGACCTAGAACATAAATAAAGTACAGTGTATTTACGTAAAAATTTATATTTAATATTGAGAAAAAACAAATTCGAAGGAAACATCTTTCAATTGATAGAAAATCAACGTCGGTCAAAGCTACAAAACTGTAGCGTGCATGTGGTTTTATATTTCAGTCTTTGACCATAACGTTACAGATCCCGTAGTACAAAAAGTTGCGATTTTCTACACTCGGTTTTGGAGAATATCGTCAGAAGTGTCATGCAGCTTGCATAATTATACAATCTATTTACAGGTTCACTTACATTATTAATGAACAAGAAGCAATAGCCTATAGGCCCCAATTCTTACTTTATTAACTTTGGCAATGTTGTTCTTCAAAAGATTTTCCTCATTGTAAAACTTTTTTTGGCCCCGGGGTCATGATTTGAACAGTTAAGGTTCAACACTACCCCAGCGTGCTTAATCAAAAGTTTAAGCTTTTTTGCCTAGTGGCTCTTGAGAAAAAGATTTTTAAAGATTTTTTTATATATTTCAATGTTAAACTTGAATTCTCTATTGTGGCTCCATCTAACCTTCAGGGGTCATGATTGATTTGAACAATTTAAAATCTAAATTTTTAATAAGAATAAGAATTTTTTATAACCTCAACTTGTTTTTGTCTTTTCCTGGCTACATTTTTCTGTCCCCCCTTTATAGAGGTCTTGAACCTTTATTTTAACAATTTAAACATTAAAGCTCTCCTTTACCCAAGGCGGCTTTGAACCAACTTTGGTTAAAATTGACTCAGTGGTTCTTGAGGAGAGGTTGAAAATAGGAAGAGCTTACTGATGGACAGAATGACAGACGATGGACGATAGATAATTACTAAAGCATACTTAAACTTAAAGCTCAGGTGAGCTTAAA